GAAGAATACGTAAAACAAGCAAAAAAATAAATAAATATTGTATTAACTGTTGGAAGAAAACATAGCTGTTGAGATTAATTGGGTCTCGGGGACAGAGGTGGTTTCGATGAGGTGGAGCAAATGCTGAAAATTAGACTGTACATTATAAGAACTGGACAGTGGGCATTTCCAGAACGCTAAAGTCACATACATGTTAACACGTGCACGAGTTTCCGCGGCCTCGCCGGGAGGCTGGAGAAACGCGCGGAGCCAGAGCTCCGCGAGCGCCGAGGATTTGTCGCGTGTGCAGCGGTTCGTCTGGAAGTAAATTAGGAGGTCACGTTTATCTTTCAAACCAGCATCCACAACTACTTACATGCCCGTTTTTCCGCAGACATCTTTATTTTTTAGTCTGTCAGCAAACTTATTTCATGTACGGTACCTACCCCCGCACAAAAAACAGTTCCCCACCCCCACCCCGGGCTTCAGGATCTGCCCATTTTAACATGGCGGCGGCTGAGCCTGCGCAGTGCGAACAAAGAAGGACGGCCGGGTGCTGGCAGAACGTCGACCTGCCCTTCTTCCGGTGCGGAAGGCTGTACCATTCTCATACCTCGTCGTTGTTTGTCCTAATTCACACATATAATTTTCCAAGACAATGTGCGCTCCCCTAAGCCACAAGAAGGTGCCTCCGTCTCTAACTATCATGTAAGTGCTGTTCATATCGTCTCGTCCCCGAAGGGCCCCCGCCATCCCCTAATGGTCTGCACCCGCTTCACCTCCGGTTTCAGGTGTCATGGCTGCCTCGAGAGGCTAGTAACAAGTTTCCACCCGTGGTGCGGGGTCCGAAGCCCACACCTGGAAACCCAGGGAAGTAAAGTTGCGTCTTGATCGTGGAGGCGACAGCTTCACGAATTCCTGGAGATGACGGCGTCCGGGAGTTGTATGGCCCAGAAAACCTGGGAACTGGCCAACAACATGCAGGAAGCCCAGAGCATCGACGAAATCTACAAATACGACAAGAAGCAGCAGCAAGAAATCCTGGCGGCGAAGCCTTGGACTAAGGAGTGAGGAGGTCCCTGGCGAGACGCAGGGGAGGGAGGGGTGGCGGGAGTGTGGGAGA